TTTGTCGTCGTTTTGACGCCATCTGCTTAAGGCTGGCATACCACCGCGTCGGATTCCGTTGGAGAGAAACCCAACGCCTCAGACAGCAATGGGCACATAAACGTGTTCACTGGTGGGCTGAGTGGCAAAATGTTTTCGAACGAGCCCCACCTTATTTCGTTATATAGCGATGGCCACGTGTTCGACGCTACCATGGCTGATCGCAATCTATCAGCCTACATTGTTCCGCCCCATGGTGGACAAACGCTAAGTGTAATGATTTGGTGCGCCATTGGCAACAATGAGTGATCTCGCCTCATACGTATTGAGGGCAATCTGAACAGCAACCGCTACATCTAGGAGGCTTTAGAGCCCGAGGTACTGCTCACCCTGCATGCAATTTCACATGCTATATTCCAGCCAGACAATGCCCGATTGCATGTGGCAAGGAATGTGTAAGCTTTCTGCGAAGAACGACGGGTACCACTGCTTCCCTGGTCTGCTAGTTCGCCGGACATGTCGCCCCTAGAACATGTCTGGGATGTGATCGGTCGGCAACTTGTTCCTTCCGGTCCTCCTTCAGCCATTGTCAGCCAATTTGTGGTCACGTATAGAAACATGGTGGCAGTCTTTTCTCCAGCAGCATATCCAGGTTCTCTTTGATTCCAACGACGTTGAGATGCTGTGATGGCAGCTCGTGGCGGTTTCACGCCGTGCTGAATACTTATAGTCAAAATTCAGGTAGAATTCTGTAATTCTAATCTTTTGTATATTGTTGTATTCCTAATCTGTGGAATAAATTTCAATGTAGTAGTATGTCTTCTTCTTGGTTTTGCAGTTTTCACAAACACCAGTGCATTTAGTTTTCCCGCCTGATGGTCTAATATTTGTAATGAGTTGTAGAAATGTTGACTGTGATGTGTTATATATGTATATATTTGGCCTTTTGTGTCGACTGTCCGACTTTGCTGGCTAGCTATTGGTGTTACAGTATGGTTTAGTTACAGTTATAAATGTTTGATCTAGTTTAAGTTTAATTCCCACTCTTATGGGGTAAGAGAAAATGTGGTGAACGTAACGTATTCCCTTGACCGTAACTAGCAGGTTTGAGCTTTTCTTCGTCACACAGCTATAGAAACTGAAATGGTTTTAAAGGAGAGCTACAACTCTATTTTTACCTCGATGGGAATCGAACCCGGGATCACTACGCGGGAAGGTAGTACGCTGCTCATGAGAATCTTAGAGGCTTTGATGTGTTAATATGGACAGAAATTGTGGTGTACTATTTTTACTTAAGCGTTACAAATGGCGAAAATACGTGCTGTTTTCGAACCATTAGTTCTAACGAAAATTTGCTTATTTCCGGCGCACGATTACAATACTTTCTTTTCTTACGAAGTAAGCGCGAGAAAGTAAATATCTATTAAACACGAGAAACATCACAACTTGTATGCAATAATGAACGTGTGATAAACCTAATTGCTGAAACGCGATGATTCATTTAAAGAAAAATCAGGTTCATAATTATCGCTGCTAACGCAAATTGAATTATGAAAAATCAGATTTTAATATCTATATTAATTTTTAGGTATCAGTGAACCTATAGATTTTGGTAGTTTTTTAGTTCCTCCAATGCCTTTTGCTTTCCAGAAAAGTGGAATCTATTCAAAAGAAACATTGTTATCAATGTTCGCATGTCTATGCAAAATTTGATAGTCTTCATCATTGTCACCCACAGAATGGCTGCGATCAAACATTTAACTTAGTAGGTCAACCTTTTCTGCCATGTTTCATTACATTCTGTTTTGACAAACTAGTGCGAGACACACACTTATGTATATGCACTACACTACCACAAATTTTGGGAGATCAGTCGGACAGTAGGACTTCTGCCGGCTGGGGCGGTGCTGCGTCTAGAGCACGCCATTCAGCGGGCGGAAGGTCACCGCCAACTCCCGCGATAAAAAGCATTCACTACACTTACGGGATTAATGATAGCAGTTGGCGCGCCCAGAAACACAAGTCAACAAGTTAGTGTTAGGTCACATTATAATTATTTGTCTTCATTATAAATGTTTGCAGTACCAATTCGTTGATATTATTTCATATCATACTCAATTGTGATACGTTTTCTCCCCAAAGAAAATGAAATAAATCCATTTTCCGGCACCAGGCACTGGAGTGATTTTAATTTCTTTTGCCTGTCTTCAGAAACTGCACAAAATCAGTGATCTAGAGCCTAGTCTAGAGGGGCCTTCTTATCCAATACCATGTAGCAGCACATACCAATATATATAAGACGTTTTAGCAGGGTGGGGCAGGCCTCTATGATCAAACCTCCCGAGTTTCCTTTACTTGGCAAGCTAAGATGAATAGTAACCATAAGACGGCACTATCCATAACATGATCTAAAGTTAGTGTTTAAGGGTACTCTGGGTCAAATGTACAACCTCGTACTCTGCCCTTCAATATTTCTACATACGGATTTGGTTTGATTCATGACAAACTAGTGAAGCTACAACAACATTTTATAATAAAAATTTCCGCAGCATACCTGACAGAACCTGAAGCGTTATGCAGTGTTCAGTATTGATTGTCTCCATTACAAGCAATCGACTTACTAGTGGCTGAATTTTTTTAAAGTAATGTCTGATTTCCAGTTGAGTCTTGTATCAAAGTTCGCCATTATTTAATTGATTAATTTTTCAGCCTTCATGAAATTTTATTTTTATTTATATGGAATGGAAGGGAGTGCCAAAGTTGTTAAAATGACTTTTTGGATTAGGTGGGTTCAGTTTAATTTTCCATATTATTGGTCAGTTATCTATTTTATTTTGATGACGAATTCAGTTCGTTTATCCATTGAATTTCTGTACATACAGATTACAACATTGCCGGCTAAGTGCATCTCTCTCTCTCTCTCTCTCTCTCTCTCTCTCTCTCTCTATATATATATATATATATATATATATATATATATATATATATATATATATATGTTTATTATATTACTTGAAGTTGATGAGTATTGGAATCCTTCAGTTAATATTTTACGAGGATAGGAATTATGATGATCTACTGAAACTATAACTGCCCGCTGCAATTTTTTAAATTATGTTTAGTAAATGAATTAGCATTCGTATTGTTTGGATTTTGCAAAAGTAGACCTTGGTGTCATACCTTGTCTAACAACGTTTATTTTCGTCAAAAACCGGAAACAAAATAGAATGTGACTTATGGTTAAGAAGTATAATCTGCGCACGTTTCCTTGAGATTCAGAATCCCTATACTCACCCTTTTTACTAAACACTGTTGACTGATGAATAAAAGTACCAACAATTCAATGATCTTCCCTAGTAATAGAAAACTTATTTGCATGGGTAAACGAACTACAGTATTGATTTCATAGAATTACTGACTAAAAACAACCCGCAAACTCAGCTCTACTCCAACCACAACTAACAAAAGGAGAGGTCAACAAAATGTGCTCATAGTGAATCTATATTTATGTCCAGGAACAAAACATGGGACAATATCAGCATTTACTCAATGGATCAAAAAATGGACGAAAAACAGGATCGAGATGAGGGTCAATGACCCTGAAGCTCAAGTACAATACTTGTTAGAGACATAGATCGCAGGTTCAGGCATCTTTTAGAATTATACAGTTCAAATGTTAACTAATGCATTATACATAATTCTTAATGTAAATATTATTTTCTTTTATGATGCTCAATATATTACCTAATTGTATAAAACAGTTAAGTAGGAGAAAAGAGTTTACTTTGCCCATAAATCAGTGAAGCGATTTTAGTTTTTCAATGTCCTTTTTTAAGTATTTGTAAAGTACCGTACATGTAATATATGTTGATTTCTTGAAATGAACTATTTATGCTCACATCTGATAAATACGATTTCTATAACATTTGTGTAAGTTATAAATATATCTACTTCATGAAAATATTGTGATATCTGTATTGCGTAAATAATTTTATATACCCTAGATATGTGTCAAATTACATGTTGTTTATTTTCAAAAGCTGGGGGAATGTTTTTGATGGAATAGTTTGTAGAATTCTTGATACATGATTAAGTAAAGAAAACTGATGTAAAGAAATAATTTAGTTTTCTTTCTAAATAGTTGGTATTTAGTATTCATGTGCTAACGTTTTTCTAGAATTTGTGAAAGCGTGGTTATTAAGCTTAATGGTCTATAGTTTTCTACGTTACTACGATTTTTATATGGTTTTGGTACAGAATAATTTGAATTTTTCTTTACAATTGGATAGCATTAATATATTGAATTATAAATATTGTTTATGTACGCTGTAATGGGGAAGGGATGATTTGTAATATCATATTGTTAATTGTGTCGTGGCAGGGAACTGTTTTTGGTGGTAGGTTGTTTTAGAATGTTCTACACGTTGTTTCAAGAAACGAATTGTGTCTTTTGTGGTACATCATTGTTGGGAATAAAGGAGTCTGTATTATATTGGCGTGAGGGGGTAGGGCTGGTGTGTTATTGAGTGTGAATGTCAGCTTTATCTTTTTCAAAAGGAACACGATTTTCTATACATTAAGTACAAAATAGTAAAAACTAGTGATAGGTAAGTCAAATACTCATTGAACCATTCAGGTATTATCCGACTTCTATAAATCGAAGAAAAAACAGAAGATATCGTAAATATTCATGGACGTAAACTGGGTTAGATATATCTGAAAATAACATTTTAATGTAAACATAATATAAACAACAAAGGAGCGCTTTCCGCCAACTCTAACGTGTACCGGGTCGTATGCGTGAGCGTTAAGAATGTGTCCTCAAACCCATTAAGACGAAACAACACGAAAAGTCGCGTGCGAAACTGTAGGTTGCAGCCGTATCAAATCTACCGTGTATCTGACCGCCGGGCTTCGACATTGGCCTCTTAATCAGATACCGAAGAAGCCCGATGTACGTAAGTTTAATTAAACCGGCAGAGTTTGCGGTATATAAGGTGTGTCTGGAGCCAACGGAAACCAGGTGAGAAGTGGCCCTGCCCTCGAGACCAGCATAGCACGCCGGTGAGAGGTGCCCCCAACCATCATGAACTCCACTACCAGTCTCGGTGGCGCCCCGATCGCTCTCCCCTACGAGAGGTAAGTATTCTTCAAAGTGGATATTTAGGATGAATCTGGACTTGAAATTTGAGAAATTTCCTCAGCGTATTAATTATAGAACGTTTTCCCAGGAGCCGTTACATTATTTAACGAAAAAAACGATAATTGTAATTCAAATACACACATGTGATATTGGTATACATAAAAAATAGATGGAAATTATATATTTTGCCATCTTTACAGAATGTATTTGTAAAAACGCATTTAAGTCATTTTAAAATATAATTTGCTCTTTTGTATAAACTAATAACTTAACAGAACCGTGCACAAATTGATGAATGAACGGTTGTTTGTTTATGTCTGAATATTGCCGCGGCATTTCTCGGTAGTGTCGGAAACTGCGAATTAAATAAACTTTCATAAAAATGAATTGTACTGATGATCTTGGATAAGCACTGTCGAGGTAACTGTTATGCTATATGAGGGAGTCAGTCGAAAATATATTTTATTTCTGAAAAAATCTCAATAGTGCCTTGTATTCTCTTGGTTACGTTTCTCCTCAGAATAAAACTCCAGTTTCTAAAATTTAAACAATGGACTTCCTGGGCATTAATATTAACACAAAAATGAACTTTTATGTAGGTCTACATTTTGCTTGGGATATACGAGTACGTGCATTTTATATTATTGGCGCACATTCTTATCTTGAGCCTTGTTTTCTTTCAAGATAACGCAAGATAGAGCAGTGCAATTTGAGAAAAAACACATAGTGCCACTTTTCAAACTTTCTTCTTTAGAAAAATAGTCCTCTAAAAATGTAAATATACATTGCAGAGATGATATATCAAAATAAGGAGAAGGTCATTGACCATTACCATATCGTATTATTAGCTGACCTTTGAAGCAGATATTTTTTGTGGCTTTGTGTTCTTTCAAGAGTAATTTTCTAGTAACCGGATTAAATGAATGTAACTTATAATACGCGCACGTTTTTCTCTGTTACCGTAGCTACGTGGTGCAACTGCTGGGATGGAATATTCCAGCGGAACACATCGAACTTGTTCATCCTCACTGGCGGGGATATGAAACACCAAGCAAATTTTGGCATTTTGGATTCGCTTTCATGTACTTCTGTATTATGGTCATGTCATGTCTAGGCAATGGAATCGTCCTATGGATCTTTGGAACGTACGTTTTTATATAAATTATTGACAATATAATTGGATTTTCTATGCAAAATGTAGAATCCAAAATTAATATTTATATTACATACTATACTCATGAAATGCATTTCCTTTTCAATTTTCAGCACTAAATCATTGAGAACACCATCCAACATGTTTGTGGTAAACCAGGCCTTGCTTGATATGCTTATGATGATTGAAATGCCATTGTTTGTTTTAAACTCACTCTTCTACCAACGACCAATTGGTTGGGAAGTAGGCTGTGATATCTACGCCCTGCTAGGATCTGTCTCTGGTATTGGTTCTGCCATCAACAATGCTGCAATTGCTTATGACAGATATCGGTAAGGAAATCATTATAAAAAATATTACATATTTTCAAGAAACTAAATCGTCGATCATTGTATGTTCCACTCATTGTATAAGAGTAGCATTTCTAATAAATAATTTTCGGTAATTTCTTGAAATGAAATTTGAACATGCAAAGGAAACGAAATCATCTATAATGTTTCGCACAGAGCATTTACTTAACTTGGCCAACCTTTTTGCCAAAATGTATTGCGTATTTTGTTGCGCAATTCTTTTATAAAAAAACTTTTCCAGCACCATCGCATTCCCCCTGGATGGGAGGCTGCAGTTCGGTCATGCAATGGCATTCATTCTTGGCACCTGGGTTTGGGCGATGCCCTTCTCCCTCCTGCCACTACTTCGTGTTTGGGGCAGATATGTTCCTGGTGAGTTGCGACGTATTGAGTGACTTCCACTTTAGAGAATTCGGTCGCACTTCTTTCGACATATCGCGTTTAAATTTAGTATAACATTTCATGCATACATTTTATTTCCATTTCAGAGGGTTTCCTTACCACGTGTTCCTTTGATTATTTGACCGACGATGAAGACACTCGTGTATTCACTGCATCCATCTTTGTTTGGTCTTATGCCTTTCCTCTGTGTCTCATTATCTTCTTCTACTGCAAACTTTTTAACCAAGTTCGCTTCCACGAGAAGATGCTCAAAGATCAGGTAATGAAAACTAAGTACGTTGGAATTCATTCACGAGCATAATTAATGATACCTATATTTTGACTCATTATATGTTCACAGGCAAGGAAAATGAACGTAAAATCTCTGCAGACCAATCAAGATGCTGAACAAAAATCTGTTGAAATCCGAATTGCGAAGGTAGCATTCACAATTTTCTTCCTGTTCTTGTGTTCGTGGACTCCTTATGCTACTGTGGCAATGATTGGAGCTTTTGGTAACAGGTACATATGTTTTCTATATAAGCTATTGGATTATTTTCGAATCTATAAACAAATCCAATTCTAAATATTTTTTATTTTCATTAATATCCAAAATGGTATAATATATTAATTATTCTGCTCAGGGCTTTGCTGACGCCTATGTCAACAATGATTCCTGCTTTAACTGCAAAGATCGTTTCATGTATTGACCCATGGATATATGCCATCAACCATCCCAGATTCAGGTAATATACGAATAATGAACTCCTAAACAATTCAGTGATCAAGATGAGTATTTGAAGTTAACTCACTAGTGCTAGGACGTGATTAAATTTGGCCAATTTGTGTTTCAGGGGAGAGCTGCTGCGACGTGCGCCTTGGTTTGGAGTCAAGGAAATCAACCCATCTGATGTCGGCTCTGTGACCACTGATCGCACCACTACTACAGGAACAACCGAGTCCGTTTCAGCTTAAACATCTTAAAGGAAATCCTCAGCCACATTTAATGACAACCGCATGAATTTGGATTTGATAATGGACAATTTTATGTACTCTTAGTTTATTTTGCAAAAGTTGAACAATTACAATTGTAGAAAATAAAGTCGGTGAATGCAAATTATTTTCTTGTGTTGTACTATTTGCCCTACTCATTTCCTAAACACTTTCCTCATTACTTTTCCTTTCCACAAAATTCTCTTCGTGTTGCTAAATACTTCATGTTACTTTAGATTTTGATCACTTCCCTAATATCTTTATATTTAACCATAACCAGATATAAACTATATTTCGTTTCTTTAAGGAATATCATGAACAACAGTTTCTTCTTCCCATTGCAATTAATCAGCTGCAGCATGATTGAGCATAGCTTAGGGAATCATAACTATTTCCTTCCATTCCCATCCACTTGTATGCATGTATTTCATTTCCTGATATCGATCTTCAGAATGTCATTAATGTTTCAAAAAACATAGAGGAGTGTGTACCAACTTGTTACAGATACATTTGCGCAATTACTTCAATGCATACAGATTTCGGGATTACTTTGTGATCTTGTGTAAATGAAAAGGGATATTACATATGAAGAATTCTTTCCAAATAATTGGAAGGAGATAAACTAAATTACTAAAATACTATTTTCTTAAAGGCCGGTAAACAAGTGGTGCTACAGAATGGCACAGATTTTCTCCTAGGAAAGTTCTCAACTTTCTTCGGTGTGAGCTAGTTTTACGGTCGTGCCCCATCCTCTCGCCAGCTGCAATATCTCGCCGTCCAAAATATTAAAATTTTTTTCTCATATTTTCGGTTTTCTAATGGTACATTCCGCATATTATTTTAAAATATTAAATAAGAGTAAACCCTCCTCCTATAAGCAAATTTTCAGTGAATAATTTGGAGCCGTTATTTAAAAAAAACGTTTTAGCTCTAGAATATATGCGAAATTTAAAACTTTTTTACAGGAATCTTTTGTTTTCGAAAAACTTTTGAATTCATTTGAAGCACTTAGATTCACAAATGCGATTATATATACAAATTGTTGGAAATGTGCATACATTAGTGGCGTGAGAAATATTTAAAAATATATTTGTGTGATTTAAAAAACAACGACACAAGAATACAGCAAAGTTGATTTATGCCATCTTACATAGTGCAATTAGCATAATCCGTACGAAAAGTTTGAAGAAAAAATGTGCCGCTATTGAGAAAATGGTGTTAGAGCGTTTATGAAAATGTGATAATTTGTGTTCGTTTTAACAGAAAATTTTGTTTTTTCGAGAAACTTTATGTCATTAAAAAAACATGTATTCATAAATAAGATAATGTGAACAAATTGCCGATCGTGTAAGTATTAACGTCGTGAGAAGCTAGAAAATATCACTAGAAAATAAAGTTTTTAAAAATATCACTAGTTTTTGTGTAATTTCGAGTGAAATAATGGCAACTATGAATAATTACGTAAATTAGAATTGGAATTTTTTTTTACTTTCCCCTACGGAGTAGAGAAAAAGTTAGAAGATGCTCAAAAATAGAAAAGGCGAATTTTCGAGAGAAAACTCTTTTTACAAGGCCCCTGATGACAAAAAAGTGAATAAATCCAGTTGCTACATTTAGAATATGATCCACTATCATCAGTGGTGTAACCAGAATCTATGTTTTGTGGGTCTTTCATGCCGAGAAATCGAATGACGGCAAAACGTCTGTCCACCTTTAAACACCGATAACGGGTAGGCCGTTTAGCCGAATTTCTCCAAAATAGATATTCCCTAATTTATCTGGCTGACGTCGCGGGACCTGGAATTTGAAACCTATATTTTACATTTTGGGTGTACTTTACATGAAGCCTCTGGGTCATTTTCAAAATGTTAAAAAAATGGCTCCCTAGTTTTTGATTTAATTTTGTCGTTGGATAGTGTGAAGGACGTTTATGAGAATGACTCAGGCCTAATGTTCGTTTAAAACCCTGATTTTTTGAAAATTGCAAGTGTTTAAAATTTATTCGGAGTCTTCCTGCAATTAACCAACGTCCAACGTCCTTTTTTTGAACCGTCAAGAGGGTTTTTATGTACCGGGAAAGGTGGCTCAGGGCTGATGTCAGTGTAATGCCCCTGACCGGGAGTTCCTAGATTCGAGTCTCGACGGTGGATTTTCGACACTAGTCGAATTGAGTCGCTGTCTGAAGGAGAATTCTACCGGCCGGCTGCTCTGTTTGGAATTTTTCTTGGTTTCTCCGATTAATACCAGGCGAATGCCGCAGCAGTATCCTACCAAACGGGTCACTGACCGCGCGCAAACTTTCCTTCTTCCTTCCTCTTCCTCGTCCGAACCTCACCCCTAACTTACACTAACATGCACTATATTACGACACTTGCTGGGAAACCAGTCGGGAGCTTGAAGCTTGTTTCGGCTGGTGGGAGATACCTGGTTACGGCAAACCCCGAAAATCGACGGTTGGGTCGGCGCCTGATCTCACCATCCAGCGGTGGAAGATCACCACTACCTCCTGAGGGAAAATGTACCACGGGATTAATGACCTTAGTAGTTGAGATGCCCGGAATGTCGAATCAATCAATTAAGGTTTTTACGCCGACTCAGGTGATTGGAGATGTAGTTATGCTAACTGCTTGCTAATCCAAAGTACTTGAATTCGAATAGCAGGAAAGTCAAATATTTGTGTTGTTTTGAAACCCATTTGTAGCTTCAAGATGTAGTATAATATTACGTAAGCGCTCAAACACTATTTTCTCAAAAAACCCTCCATTTTTTTCTTCAGACATTTCGAACGGATAGTGGTAATTGCACTCTTTAATATGACGTAAAGTTAATTTCGATATATATTTTCTTTGAAATTACACAAATGTAAATTTTTTGAAAGATCTCTCACGCCGTTGACATACACATTTCCAGCAATTTGCAAACACTATTGTATTTGTGAGTTAATGTACTTATAAGTCTTCAAATGAAGTTTTTCGTAAACTCAAAACTTTTCATTAAAAAGAACTTCAAATTTCGAATTTACAGTAGTACTTAAACACCAGTGTTTTAAAAGCGTCTCTAAATTTTCAAAGAAAATTGCCATTTATGACGAGATTTTACTGTTCTTAAATAATCTGAAAATCATATTTCCGGTATACAATTAGGAAGACAAAAAATTAAGAAAATGTGAAAAGAATGTATTTTGGGCGCCGATAGATGGCAGCAGGCAAGAATATGTGACAAGTTTGAATAGCTAATGGAGACCAAAGGAAATATAAAACCAATAGGGAAAGTCTGTGCCATTCTGTTCCACGACTAGTTTGAATATGTTTATGTACTTTCTAACATTCCATTTGAACTCAACTACTGATCAAATGTCTTCTAGTAGTTGATGTATTAAATTACCAACGATGTTAAGTAAGAGAAAGCAGGAATGAAATTGGAGTATTGAACCGTGTTATACGACACCCAAGTCGAGTTCAAAAAGACACTTCACATCGTCCTGCTCCTCACTTCCTTCAGAATTCGAAGACTGTTAAGGTTCGGAGAATTTCGGAGCCAAAAATATTTATTTCGTAAAATTCGAATTAAAAGGAACGCACTGTCTCAGAACTTGTTAAAAAGTATTCTTATAAATTTATTTTAATTGAAGCAGTTTTATGAAGGGAATATAATATTATTTTGAACTGTATGTTTTCAAATGGACAAAAATTCAATTGAGTTTCGACAGTTTTTTTTAAGTTTTCCCTTATTCTCTAGAGAGTTTTCATGTACTTGGACTTTCGTGAACTTTTCTTCATAAATAACTTGGTACATTCCTCACCGGTTAGATTAACGCATTTATGATGTTGTAGTTATTTTTAATTCGAATATTTGATATTCTATAATTGGGTAATTGTTATTTTTGGAAACATAATAAATAATGTTTTCAATGAAAATGTCACTCTTCGGAATCAGAATTTCATTACATTGTTTTGATGTAATGTTTTTATTAAAAATATCATTTATATATGAAAAATTTTACAAAGTAGTTTACGTTGAGCCTTTTTACTACATTCACGTTTACTGACATATTCTTTGCTTCTATGAACTTAGCAGAGGTTTATATCTTTTAAAACAACTGTATTTTTATTTTTTTTTATTTTCGCGTATCTAGACATCTGAAAGGTAGGTGTCATGGTATGTATGATGTGTCATGATTGTGATATCCTGTTATTGCAAAATCATGCGTGTATTCCCTCCAGGGAAGAACAATGACCCTTCCCATTTTAAGAAAACTATCGATATACATCGCCAGCGGCTGTCTGCTCCGCGCTACGAGGAAACAAGCCGAACGAAAGCGATGACCCTGGGGAAACAACGAAAGTGACTCCACTCACTGTTTCATAATTCCTCCTACATTACCGTGCGCCGGAGTCTGAAGTATCACACGTCGTCATGCCTTATGCATACAGTATCCGCTCGGCAACAAAATTTCAGAATGTTAATACGGACAACTCCTCGTAAGAGGTTAAGCCTTCGACTCTTCGTACTGCCAGTATATTATTTCATCGACAATTTAAAAACAAGAACGATTAACAAATACGAGAATGTATGTGAAGTAGAACGACTAGATTTATTTTAAATATAACGAGGGAAGGATATTGAATACAATCGAACCTTCTCAAAATATCACTACCTTAATATATATGGCGTTCATTTGAAATAATGGTACCTAACATCCTTAACGAAATTGATTGATTAATTCTTTCCGGGTGCGTCAACAGCTATAGTTATCAGTGCCGTACGTGTAGTGCATGTTGTATTCCAGGGGGTAGTGATGTTTGTCCCCCAAGGAGCCCCCCAAGGGCTCCTGAGAGCCAGATTGGCTGAGATGACTCAGGGCGACAAATGTTGCCACAGCAGCGTTTCTGACCGGGAGGGCTGGGAATAGGACAAGGAAGAGGAAGAAAAGGTCGCGCGCGGTCTCTGGTTCGTTTGGTAGTGACTGCAGTGACTCCATTGATACCCTGAGCCACTTAATCCGGTGAAATTATCCGAGGAAACCACAAAACCGACCAATAGGAACTCTCGGTTTCTTGAATTCGCGGACTCGTAACTGATGCGCGAACGTACTTGGCGTGCGAATGTGATTAAAGCATAAAACGT